TATATATATATATATATATATACACACACATTATATATATTTATATGAGTTTTATACGATTATTTCCAGCTCTTGTAACATTAAAAAAACCTGGTGGTGCGGGTAGGTCTGGCGGTGGCACCTCAGGCCTCGGGGGACAGAGGCAGGTGCCGCTCCGAGGAAATCCTGGGATTTCCTCAACTAATCAGAGCTTTCAAATTCTTACACCGAAATATAATTTCAGCAGGATGGGTTTCATTTAAGCAGAATGCTATTAGGTTATTAGTTTTAAAGAGCTGAGAACTAACTCGCTCCTAGGCACCAAGAGTAGTAGTAAAGAGGTGTTTTTGTGTAATCTGGCATAATAAATGTATTAATAGTGCTGTCTAATTAACAGTTTGTACAATTATCTATGATGCATATGTCAAAGTGTTATGCTATAATATTTCATATGGTAAAATAATATTTTGCTGCCAAGGCAAATAATCCCAATCAAAATTCAAGTGGAACATATGGGACTTCTAACTGAGGGAATTGTAGCTTCTTGGGGCTTTATTCATCAGGTTTTGCTTCAGAAATTGTAGGAAGTGATGTGTGTGTATTTCCTCCATGGATTCTGTCATTTCTTAATCAACTTCAAAGTTAATTCCCTTAAAGCTGGCTTCACAGCCAAATCGCAGTGCTTTCAGAACTGATGGGAGTTTTGTTGTCTCTGGAGTCAGAAATGCATCCGAGAGGCTTCCGTTTAATTTGAACAGGAAAGAATAAAAAATGCAGGTGTGATTAGGAAATGCTTAGTTTTTTCCTTACCATAATTTTCAAATAAAATGGAACTTTATGAATGGAACTTTCAGCAATTCAATTTACTCAATTTACAGTCATGTTTGCAGTTACCTTCTGTGACTGCATCGACACTACAAAAAAGCCATACAGAGGTGCCCTGTTTGAAGCTGGTTTCCTTAAAAAAGGAAAGGAGCCCACGACGGGGTTACTGCTCCCTGCCAGCCTTTCCCCCTCTCCCCTCCTCGCGCTGGTTCACAATCCATTGGCAGCTGGGAGGGAGAAGGAGGAACCGTAGTGATAGGAGCCTCAGCACCCAGCTAGGAATAAAATCCCCACAATTTAACATAGTTGTTCAGAGAAAGAC